TTGGAGGATTTGTGTTCACTTGTAGTTCCGTGGCTGGACTGCAGGTGGTGTTTCCGGACGAGGTGCAGGTGATGATGGTGGTGGTCGATTCAAGAGCTTCGTGAAGTGGTTGGCCTATCGTTTCCTTTGTCTCCCTTCTTTCGTAATTAAATTTCCATCATCACCTTTCATTGGTTTCATCTGTGTTGATCTCTTCCATCCCAGATAGTAGCCTGGTTATTTGATACAATATTGTCAGGTCTCTATCTGTCCTACCTGCAGCCTGTTCTGCTTCACTTACAAGTGTGTCGTAGGAGTGTCTCTTGTCTTTGCGCGCACTCGCATTCACTTCTTTGTCCAGTGTTGTGTTTTATACATTGTACTCAGTTCCTCTTCTCGTTGAGCATCCTTGCACTGCACTGGTTTATCTTCTGCTTCACCATCACCATCCTCATCTCCCTCCTCTATCAGCTTCCATGTGGAGATCCGTCAAGATCCATTCCTTATCTTCTTTCTTCTTCCTTCCTAATACGGTTGTGCAGGTTTCTCTCCACATCTCTTTCAAAGACTTCCAGTGTTCTTCAACACTGGTTTCTTCAGGGATGTTGCTCGATATCTCCCATTTTGTCTTGATGGCTGGCTGCCGTGAAGATCTCCTTTGTAGTTTCCTCCTTCACTTTGTGTTCTGGGTGTTCAGCTTGAACTGTGGTCCAGCGCCAGCTTCCTTGAAGGCTTTCACCTTGATTTGGAGGCTCCCTTGCACTAGATAGTGAGTGGTGTGAACCTACATCTGCTCCTCTTCTTCATCTGACCTTGTGTCAAGTAGGCTGACTGCATCTCCACTTTCTTGAGATTGAGATAAAGTCGATCTGATGTTTAGCGTGTCCTGGTGTCTGGTGAAATCCATGTTGCTCGCTTTGTGGATATTCTTGTGCTTGAACACACTGCCTGACTCCAATCACCAAATGGTTGAATGCACCGAATTCTGTAAACAATTCTCCATTCTCGTTCATCACCTCACCGAGCGCTACTCGGCCCATGGTTAGTTCTCTTCCTATGTTTTCCGCTCCCAGTGCTAGTATTAGTAGTCTAAAAATACTTCACCATTTATTTTTATTTGAGGAAAAAGACACGGATACGTGCATCCAAGAAGCAAAAACGGGGATGGTTCACAGGAAAGTTTTGTTCTACGTTGTCAAAATGCAAAAATTGCAAAGCCAGAGTAAGTTGACAAGAAGAAGCGATTATTATTGTAAATAATAATGGTAATAATAACAGTTGAGGTAAATTTAAGGCAGTTATATTTCGCTTAAAACTGTTATTCCATTACTAAACCATTCAGTCACCAACTTAGTATGAATCAAGTTATTGTGTAGGATCGGGGAAATCTGTGTGCATGGAATATTGCGAAAAGCTGAATTCACTTTGAAAGCTTCAGAAATCATTATATGAATTTAAAAATAACTTGGATTTTGTGAGTTACAGGATATAGGTAGCAACTTGTTAGCTGATATTTCAGATTTATGTTTCTAAAATTATCTATTTGGAAAAAAATCCATCAAATAAATCTGATTACTTCTGAACAGAAGATATAGTTTCACTTATGATTAATTCGGATTTTTTTGCATTAAACATAGAATTCATGCTTTGACTTAATATACCTCTCTTTCAACAAAAGTGATTTCTATTTAATAAAAGTGGAGGAGTGATTTATGATGTCAATAAAGCCAATTGACACTTCAGAATAACTTTCAGCGCGTTGTTAATTGACTGAGGTAGAAAATACCAGAATACTAAAAAACTTTGATAGTCAATATCAAACGATTTCTCTGCAATGCATGAATCAGAAGTTTGCTGAAGAGATGATGCTTACAATAAAGAATTTTAAAATAGAGTAAGAAGAATAGTTTTGTGACAAAGACCAGAGACCTTCAATTCATTGGAGTGCGTCTTCCAAAGAGTATAACAGAATCACTTAGCAAGTCTTAGATCCTATGCTGATTTACTACTTTTTACTTTTATGCATGGAGGTGTGTTAAGAAGGCCTTTATCAGAAATATCGTTTATAACCTCAGAAATATCTTTTTAATGAAAACATTTTTCAAAGGGGAATAAAATAGTTGCTAACAAATTTAATGGCCTAGAAGTAATAACAATGTGTATAGAATACTTGTTATTCAGTCACTTAAGTTACTTGACTGCGTACTGGACACATTAGAAACATATTCACATACTGCAGAAAGACAGCTAGAGTCTCACATACATTTAGATTATTCTATTTCAAGTGGAATGATGCTTCGAACAACTCTTTAAAACTCCTTTTATTCTATAGGCATCTCATTATATTAGACACATAAGAAATTATAAAATTCATTTTTTCTTCAACACAGAGATGTATACCTCAGCATAAGATTGATGACGGTTTGATATTCTTTAATACTTTGTATCAGACATTTTACAACTATGTGTAGTGATGCTGTTTACATTAAATTTAGACGGAAGATATGATAAAATATGAGAGATGAGAGAACACCAAACTACTAACATTACAGTATCAAGGTGTGAATAACAGAAATTGTAAACTAAAATGACGTAGTTTATTCGAAATAGATTTTTTCATCTACAGCTCTTTGTCAATTCCATGAAATATGAAGATATGCAGAAAATTCAAGGCTATTCGTTTACATGTTCCCAGATTACTAGTTTGGTGGTGTTATTATTATCATTATTTGTCTCTTGAGTTCCTAGTAGGACATAGGGCTCCAGTAGCACGCCTCCATTCCACTCACTTCTCTCCAGTCTTTCCAACCTCGCTCCACCACCGCCCACAAGCTTTCATTTATTCCTCACATCAGCTCCTCCACGTCACCCTCACCCCCCATCCCCCACGCCCAACTCGTCGTTTCCCATTTGCATTCCACTCGACCATTTGGCCTGGCCTGGCCTGGCCTGATGCCTGATGTCCCCAATCAGCCTTCTCAGTGTATGCCCAATCCAGTCCATCTCCACTATCTTTTCCTGCATATTTGTTGGGTGACAGGTGCTTGGTTGGTTCGTTGACAGCCAGCCAGCCAGCCAGCCAGCCAGCCAGCCAGCCAGCCAGCCAGCCAGCCAGCCAGCCAGCCAGCCAGCCAGCCAGCCAGCCAGCCAGCCAGCCAGCCAGCCAGCCAGCCAGCCAGCCAGCCAGCCAGCCAGCCAGCCAGCCAGCCAGTCACAGTTCCTTGTTGCTTATTCTTATTATTCTGGCAATCCATCTGATCTTCAGTGTCGAGCCAGTGTAGGTGGCAGTTGTTCATGAATGTTTGTAGTTTGTTGGAAATGCTTTTCGTGACGTGTCAAGTTTCTGAACCATCACATAGCAGCACTGATTTGACATCGGTGTTGAAAATCCGGATCGTGTTCATGCTTTGTGCTGAGTGGTGTAGATCTCCACAGTGATTTCAGATTAATGAAAGCCTGTCTTGCTTTTCCGATCCTGGTTTTGACATCGTTGTCTGTGCCAACTGTAGTTGAACGATGCAGCCTGCCTTACCTGGGTAGGTGAGAGAGACAACTTTCTTTGGGTTTCTCCCGTTGATGGTGATTGGTGCTTGTTGTTGATGGTGTTGTTGGTTGGGTATCCTCATCGCCTCCATCTTCTCTACATTCACTTGAAGTCCTGTTTTCGCTACCCTGCCTCTTGTGTCAACTTGTTGGATTTTGCCTGTAGATTTTCTAGTTTGTGCGACAAGATATTAGACAAAAATCATCATCAGCGAAATCCGAATCTTCTTCTGGGGTCTCTTCATCGATCCAATCAGTGTATGCCCATCTTCTCGCTCCTCACATTTGTCTGCTACATGGTCTAGTCGTCCACAATCAGGAAGATCATTGGCGATAGTAGGCAGCCTTGGTGGATGTATAGTCAGTGTTAACCTGGTAATTTAAATATTTGTATTTAAAAATTGAGGTGAGTTATTTCACTGCTTATTTGAGTGAACATTGGCTCCTCATCGGATTCATGCGTCTTATCTTCAGACCACTGGATAAGCTCAGTGTGATTCAACCACTGGTCATCTTGTAGCGTTGTAGGCGAGTGTCTTGCCCGCATTCTGACTTCCAGAGTTCGGTTAAAAAAGAGGCAGTGAGTGTCTGTGGGTCGAAAGTTGAAAACTAGGGCATACTGGCTTACCAATAACACAGGAAAAACTATCAGGTAATACTGCGTGATATCATCACATGGAATGGGTTTATAAACAGTTCATCCATTATCACCTTAGGTTAGACAGATATAACTTAACTGTGTAATAAAACACAACGTAGCTCGATAAAACGTTACTTATAAAAATGATCACGGTAAAGTGTACCATAGCAACTAGTCAGTATGTTTATGGTTTTCACAATGGAGCCAGCAATCTTGTTAATGTGACCAAAACTTCAATTTCTACCAAAATATTGTGTGAGTACCTGTTCCCATTTTATTTGATGATACTGCTTTTTTTCGCGTGAACGAAGCTCATCCTTTTTCAGCTGGGCTCAAAGTTGCAGTTATGTTAAAGTACTTTTTTGTGAAAATCTGGAAACACAAAATCTTCTTGTCTAATGCATTTATAAGTAAATTTTTGATGTAAGGTTTGCACACAATGATAAGTTTTCTTCTCTCCTTCCCTCCACCCTACACAGAATCCATACAGTGTCAAACATCGCTGAATTTGCCTCTTGATAAACAATCGTGAATTTACAGCTTTGTTTATATAAATCCCCTTGTAGACGACTTAAAGGTTATTGTCTCCCTCACCCCTGACGTTGAACTCCCCACCTCTTATTTATCATTTGAAAAACAAATATTTTTAAAAAATATTAAGCATTTGAGTGACCTATATCGAACAAAGTATTTTTCAGCTTATGGTTACCTTGACATAACTAGCCAGTATCATATATCACAGATGATCTTTTCCTTGTGTGTATTATATTAGAAACGGTACAATATGTGTGTTCTGCCTTACAATTCGAAATGCGACAAGACTAAAAATTAAACTCACGATTATATTTTTCAGGATGACCTTTGAATTACGCTTATTGACAAACTCGCTGAATTTACGGGCATGTTCAATTTCTTCGTTAGCAGATTTACGGAAGAAGTTGGCAAACCCTGACAGTCCGACATTAGGTCTGGAAAAGTAGGAAGCCTGAAATATCATAAAATAACATGTTAAATTAGAATAACACTGACTACAGAATCCATTCGAATAGTTTGTGAGGAAATCATTGAGTCCAAAATTGTTATCTCAGACACATTCGTCCAAGATGAATAAAGACGCTGCTGAGGAGTCCCATTCTAGGACAAAGCAGCCATCCACTCCCCAGAATTTCTAGTGTTTCTCCATCTGGTGTCAGTCCATGATGAATACCAACTTCAAATCAATAAATAAATCCCCACAAACCTCCAAATTAAAAAAAACAGAACCAAGAAAGTAAAGAGCTCTTTTGACTAAGCTGAAAACTAATGAACATGATGCACCAGACGGCCGTTAACGCTAAAAAGAGATGAGAGAAATTGGAAAATGTTAATGGTTAGCTTAAAACTTAGTTATTTGCTTTCAGAACTGAGGGGCCAAGATGCGTTGTCCAAAGAATTCGTGCATATGGTCTCGTAAGCGTAAAAAATAGGAATATTCAGTGAATACGGGGCTTATGCTGCATATTTACAGGTTGTCGGTTGCCATCTGGTTGTGTGGGACACAGTTAGACCCCAACTAGTCCTGCACACTTTCCCTCTCGTATTTGTACCATTGCTTGTCTGTGCATAACCCTAGAATATCTGTAACCATATCCCTTTGTTGGTCAGTACAGTAGGGGAGCTGGATTTCAAAAGTATTTTTACAATTGCTTCACTCCTGACATGCCTTATTTTTATCCTCAGACACTTCCAAGTGAATGAACTCTAGTGTGTGCTTCATTTGATTTGGCAATCCACCCCTCAAACTGATGGCTATATAAACAGTAGATTAAATGAACATCAACTAATTGATGTTATCAAATGGACATATCACTGGTGGTTCATTTTTCTACCGGTACTAAACTGATACAATGTTGGTACGTGGTATCACACTTCCTGTTAGTCAACATAACTACCCTACTGACTAATTAATAATCCAGTCAATCGATAACTCATCATCATCACACCACCATCATCATCTACAACTAAAACTTGAAAATAAAATTTGTTCGCTTGATCATATTATCACACGGGTCTACTGTTCAGAGGTGTGTTCTAAAAATATCACGTTATCAAAGTGCACAAGAAATTTGCAAATTCAAATCTTAGAATCATGTATTCCCAAAAATGTGGGTAGATAATAAACACGTGCAGTCGAATCTCTTGCATCACCATACGTCTGAAATATGAATATTTTCGAAATGAAGATGACTACTCAAAAATTTCCAAATGTGAGTGATGATCACATATAAAGCTGTAAGAATAAAATATTATCTCCTTAACCAGGGGGAACCAGGCTGCACTTATACATGGTTAGTCAGAAAGTGGATTAGAAATTTTGATTTTGATTATCAGACATATGGAAATCGTTTTGCTGGGTAGGTAGGGCATGGCTATCTAAGTTAAACTGCGTGCTACTCACTGTTCATAGACAGATTTGAAAGATGGTCTGCTAAATATTCCCTGTTATAATTACTAGTCAAGATATCATAATGTATTCATTATGATATTTATGACAAGTGGTGGTTAGCAATGGTATCCAGGAGGTGTGTTTCACCCTCTTTGGGACTCGTCAACTGGATTTACCTGTCTTCCAATGGGTGATGTTTTTGTCACTGGTACTCAGACCTAGAACAAATCGCTAGGAACGTCTAAGTGCTGTCCACTAGGTCAGTGAGTCATGATAGCCATTCCTCGTCCAAAGGGTAAGATATAATAATATTTTATTCCAGGATTTGGAGGAGCATACCATTACCACAGTTATGGTTATTAGGAATAATTTGTAAGCTCTTGTACAAATATTTATATCATTTAAATTGTTTGGCAAGTAGCGGCAATCCCCAGGTTAGATAAAAATATTAATATATAAGATATAATAAGTGCATGTAAAAGTGAAGACTACTTATTGCAAGTTTTTATAATTTATACGGAGATGGAATTTTGTAATTCATGCCGAAAGAAAGTGTAAGTGTTGAACCATAAAGAGAGGATAAGTCATAGAGAACGCAAACAGATAATTCCTACCAACAGGACGTAAATCATGTTTATTTTAGTTATGAGAACAATTATTTTAATGGTAGGAAGATAAATACTGCTAGTAGTACAGGGCTGGGATCCTAGTACTACTTGTGTTAGTTTCTTAGAGCCTTGTAAAATGAGCATCTTAAAGGCAAATGTACCAAAAATTTATCCAGATACAGAAAGAAGTTTGCAGAAACGAGTGACTCTTTCTCAGTTCCAACATGCTTCAGATTGTGTATCCATATTAAATCCTCTTCAAATTCCCTTTGCCATCTGTATCTAAGCCGTGGTGACCTCTACGATTTTGGCTGTCACATTTCATTCATTTTAACACTAAGCTTGAAAATTTTTCTTTTCAAAATTGAATTGCAGCTTTTTGGTGAGTGTGGTATGCAGATGCAATGCACTAGACCACACCATCTATAAACATGAGTCTTGGAGATCATACTGCTTGGTATATCATACTACCTGTTGGTTAGATGGACGGCGTCTCAGCAACTCTTTTGAATTCCTGTTTACATTTGGAAGCATCAATGCTCGATATACTTTTACGGTAGTCATTCGATAACACGAGAGACATGATGTCATAGCTTGTAAATCTTTGACGCTGGTTGGACTGAATTGGTCGATCAATGTTAGCCTCGATATTGACGGTATATTCAACAGATTTGACTTTAACGACGGTTAATGGCTAGCAGTGTAATCATAACGCATCGTACGAGTCTTAGTAGGAATAACATTACTAACTTGGATAGATGAACATCCAGTTGACGAGTCCTAGATAGGGCGAAACTCAGGTGATGGACAGCACTACTAGCCACTATCCATCATTACTATGGTTATCGTGTTTAAAAACTGTAGGATTGATGAAGAGTGGGTTAACTCACCGTCTGATATGGATAAACATGGCATTACTACATCTGCAAGCTGTTTACCGCTGCCTAACACAAGAGAAAAGAGCGATGGTGTGCCTAAATTGTTATCACAAACATCCTTGTCCGATTCGGTAACAAAACACTCTTGAAGCCAGTAGATGCAGGGACATGAGTTCAGGATTCAGAGATAAACGAAACGCTGAACATGCAATACCAGCATATCACATTTTGTTACCATATCATCAAGAATTTTCAAAGATTTATGATTTGAAAAGAATTCAGAATTCATGTTATAATCGATTTTAACTGAAGTTCAGTGTAGATAATAGATTTTATTCCACCTCCTTTCAAAGAATGACTGCACTCTGTATCTCCTGCATTCCCCCAACTGGCAGTTCATGTTCGAAGTAAGAAAACGAGGATTACGTTTTGATATTATTGCAAAACAGTATCACAATTCCTATGACCACAATAGATATCGATCAACAGGAATATCAAAATCTTTAACATTATGACAAATATACACTTGTTGCTGTTGTTGTCCACATTCATATAGTGCACCATTACATTTATTCAGCTAGTTGATTATCAGATATGCTGTACACAAACCCATTTCAAATTGTATCTGTTTACGGATGACAATCATGTTTCTCCTCTCCAGTCAAGTTCGCATCACTGAACTTTCTCAACAAAGCTTGTGAAATGCACACCAACACAGTTATTAAATAAAGCGCACATCACTGATTTTCGAATGTCAACCTGATACTGTGGGTTAAATACATGCACTTAAATAAAGTACAACTGAATGAGGTCACAAACAAACGTGTCTGTCTATTTGTTGCTTTCCCCTCATTCGCGTTTTATTGTAAGGAAAAGCATTATGAAATGAATGCGATTTCATACAACTGGGGATTATATGAGCTTTCGCTTTCAGTATATAACAGCTACTTGTACGAATCGAAGAAGATGAACTCAACAGTTAGCAATCTACAAACTACTTCATAGAGTTGTTTCTTGCACAAACTGCTGACTGTTTTGCTTAAATGAAAAAGAAACTAGAGTTCTTGATAGCCATTCAGTGTGCCTTAGAAACTAGGTGGTGCGTACACCACTTTAGTGGATTTTACACAACCAATGTACTGACATCGTAGTCGAAAAGACATGAATCTCTATTGACGGAAATACCTAGCATTATCACAAGAGCTACATCATGAGTACAAGCTCTGAACTGAATGGAAAGCCAGTGGGTTAGCTGAATGTTGACAGAATTACGTAGGATGCTTTGGACAGCATTTTGACTTAACGTCTGCAGAAACAACAATGAATTTCAAAGCAAGTGCTTTACGCGGATGCATATTCTGCTTCAAAATCTCGATTTGAAATGTGTGGTGTCTGTCTCTGTCGACTGTGACACATACTTGAGCATGAAAATGTCTGTTTTTTATCTTGGAAATTCGGCGTTTGTTATCTGTCATTGCGTTGTTCACTGTTGAAAAGTCAGTTGAAATTAAGCTTTGAAGTACAGATCAGAATTTTCTAGGTTGTAAGCCTAGGGATTTCATCACAAGTGTCAACTGAATGTCGGGCAAAACTTGATTACTGGTTGTTCTCCGCAGTATATTCGTTTCCTGTGGTATACTATCATGTGCTCAAACTACCTCAATAGACAATTCGGTTTCCACATACATGCACACAGATCATTCGAAGACACCCACGTTTGTTTGCCAATGGGCCGAGGCCACTGACTTTAGAAGCACCATGTGTAGTTTCACTCACAACTTATTTGCTAACGCTTGAAATCCTTTACAGAAACACTACAACAATTTCTACGAAACAAGCAGAACACTATCACTTCAGGGTAGACCTCGTAGACACAATATAACAAATGTATCGTCCTAATGACTGGTGGTAATTCAGGTAATTCGAAGGAACTCATTTCCATAAGGATCATCACCTGGCAAATCGGTCATTCTTGCACAGTCAACTGATGTAGAGCAGTTTTGGAAAGCCTGTAGCAGCTTTTATTTACCCAATGTTCCCCTCAGTCTGAGTGAACTAGCGGGAAAAAGAATGC